AAACCTGAAAGGAGGTCAGAATGGCGTTCGAGTAATAATTTCGATTGTGCCCAGAAAGATAACTTACAGATTGACCACTGTGGGAGTCCGAACGGAGTTTTGTCTTGGGAACTTCAGCCTCCTACAAAGAACAAATGCAGATACATGAATGGCCATAGATTCAATACAATTCTAGAAAAAGGGACGTATTGTGTTGTTCTTACCTTCGAGCGAGAGTGAAGTCGGTCGGAGAGATTCTTTCATTTTCGAGACTTCAACGAAGTGTCATCTTCGTCATCCTCTAAAGCTATCTCTCGGAGTTGAGAATCCTCTTGATGTTGAGGAACTTTTTGGGCGACAATAGCTGAATGCGAGGAAAGCGAAAAATGAGTAGAGATGTGAGATTCAAAGCCAGCATAAAAGGAAAAGAGGTAAAGTTTAATTACCAGGATAGACAACAGTGTTGTCAACCCAGCATAAAGGCCATTGTTTATCCATGGTAAAATCATACACAGAACGTCTCGCACTCGTCACTCGATCCTTAACAGGAATATTCTTGTTATCCTCATACGAGGAATCAAGGGTTCTCACCCAAGGAGGATAATCAAGAAATTTTGCAAGACCAAAAAGGGCATTGGGAAGAGGAGGTACGTATATGCTTAGGACAAAACTTTTCAAAATCAGATTGACCTTGAGGATCAATGACTTTGTTTCGATGGATGTTACGTTGTACCATTCTAGACAGGGATAAAGTAGCATCGAAATATTGTTCGAACTGATAAATAATGTTGCAATTATCATAAATACCTGAGATCTTCGGGCCCTGCAGAGAAAAGGGAGAACTCGTAAGTTTCCGAGAGAAGTCCTCGAAAGTAAACATCTTGTCGGTGTAATAACCACACCACCATTGAAGGTAGCACTTAGACACCAAAAATGCAGGAAGAAAAGAACAAGGAGTAAGGTTCAATTGGGTAGAAGGCGTCGGGATGAACTTCAAAAAACCTTCATAATCCTCATCTTCTACACAAATATCTGAATCAATTCGATCCTTTAGGTGAAGAGGTGTCGGTCTAATCTAACAAAGCCCAAATTGACGGGCAAAGAGTTAAGGCTGATAAGGGTAAACTCTCACATCCCTTTGTTTCATGCGGGTAAAAATGAGATCCCAAGATAAGAATCCCATCTAGATTTCGACCATCTCCTGGGAAATTTGTCCTACCTGATTATTGCCAATTAACCAGGAAGGCCCTACCAAATATGAGTGGATGAAAGGAGCCAAATCTTTCGAGAACTCCTCGAATTCAAGAATGGCCTGGACATAATGGGCAAAACCATCAACAGATCTTTTCTTAGGAATCAAAGCAGTCAAGCGGGCACCTTTGAGAGAATATCGAATGGAGGCTTGAAGAGGAAGAAGCTTCAGCTTTTTCTCGAAAATGGCATTAAGCCATAACTGCAAGAGCCAAAGTGGCCCTGTTAGGTTTCGAGGGCCAGTTTCTCGAAACAAACTTTTCGAGGCCTCGTCGAGGCAAGTATAAAAAGAGGCAAGTAACAACTTGCTCAAGCTAATCTTTTTCTTAAGATGCAAAGCCTAGGCGAGTGTGTAGTAGTACTTGGGAACTTGCGGAGAAGGGGTACAAAAGACACAAGCAGACAACCAATAGAGCAAGAAGGCAATGTGCTCAGAGTCAGTGATTGGAGTACCTTCTTTGCCATGGTGTGCACCGACAAAGGCGGAATACGTCTTTTTATCCCCGACGATCGAAGTATCTTTCATCGGAATCTCTTTTTCGAGAGTGTCAAGAAGATAATGGTCCCCTAAGGATTTCAACCTTGTAATGGCAGCGATATCCAAGAGAGTCAGGCAGACAAAACCACAAGGAAATTCAAAAGCACGAGTTTCCCTGTTCCAAAAGAAAATAGCAGATAGTAATATCTGGGGATCGAAGACGTTCAGGTCGTACTTTGACAATTGAACAAAATCAAATATTCCAGCCCCCTTCCAGTCAGATTGCTTCGAGGCCTCAACACGTTCCAACCATTGAATGTGTTTATCCTTAGGAGGAGGAAAAGCCCGAAATATCTTGGTAGTATCCGAAAAAAGGGAAAGGTCGATGGTAGGAGAGTAAACGAAAGGAAGAGTGGAATCATCTTCCGGAAGCAAATCATTATGAGTTTTCTTCTTGCTCGGATTTGAATAGGGGCCTAGAAATGCATGCATTGACCCATCAAAAAGTGAAAAAGGAAGGAGTACCTGTGATTGGAAAATTTTGAGACTGGCTTCCTCCATGCCAGGGATAGGAACGAATGGGTTAGTCCCTTCGCTCGAGGTAGAAATAGTCGCATTCTCAGCCAGCAAAGGTACGAAAGGAGTAGGAGAGGCCGTCGAGGCCACGAGGGTAGCCGTAGACACGGACGCAGTAGAAATTGCCATGAGAACGAGGAGAAGGTGAAGAAATCAAAGGTAAAATCAAAATGAGTGCGAAGAAACAGTAGAAAGTACTCAGAAGGGCAAGGTAAAATGTTATATGAAAGAGAAAAATGGGCCAAAGCGCAGTAAAAGCCCGCTGTGAAATTCAGAAAGGGAGGATTCAAATTTTTGGTAACTACAAATATTCACTAACGGACAAAATTTGAAAATTTGCGTCAGCATATCCCAGGAAAGCAGAATCAGTGCCGCTAAATTTATTGCAGTAGGTATGAAAAGGGAGAAATTTGGAATTAATGATGCCAGGGGCATTTAATTCTCGCGAAGAGTACAACGCTCTAGGTTCTTATTAGAGAAAGAAAACTGAGGCATTGGAAAACATTCTTTCTCAACTACCTCGAAACAAATGTTTTCCAGGGGATATTTGTTAGTACCAAGAAATGAATTCGATGATACTCGAAATACAAGGGCACTCGAAATCTTGGGTGATCGAAAAATGGCAAAGAAGTTTCTGAAGAGAAGACATATAGAGCCTGAAGAGAATGAAGAGATACGCGAAGACGTTTTTCGTGGAACTCTCGAAATCTTTAAACCAGGAAAGATGTTGCTCATGAAAAAGGCTCACAACCTCGCAACCTCTCAAAGTACAAGAAAAATCAGGAAACATTCAAGTATATTTTTCGTTTGTTACTCGAAATCCCAGGGATCCGATTATACACGAGCATACTTCACAACCTCTCAGAATGAAGAACTTAAAGGAGACACGATTTACGAGCGGTTGAAGTAAATCATGGGAAAAGTGTCAAAGACTGCAGAACGGTTTGGGGAAGTTATGAACGGTTCCAGGAGTTATCAAAAAACCTGCTCGAAAATGAGCCACGATGTGGAAGTTTAGAGTGGTTATGCATTTTCAAAGCACGTCAGATACTGTTATCTTTCCCAAATCTCTATAAATTGACGAGTCATGCTCGTAGAAAAGGGTCAGAAATCACACACCCACAACACCTCACACGCACTCCTCGCCTGCACATAAGACTCACGTGCATACGAGAATAGCTGGGTACGGTTTCTCGACCACCTTTCTTTTTTCCTTTTTAGCGTAGCATAGCATAGCGTAGCGTAGCATAGTCTAGTGTAGTGTAGTCTTCTGAATCTGTTTCGTTATCTTTACGAATTGTAATTTTGTTATCATCTAATGAAGGATATGATTTCTGCAGTCAATATACATGTCATTTGTTCGATTCACGTTAACACTTACATGCATGAAATTGATTGTATGATTAGCATAGGTATTCTATTATGCTAAAACAACAAGCATAGATCTTCTGTTATGCTAAAACAACACCCTAATCAATTAACTTTATTTGTTGTTTGTACGATTTTTTCACTAAAAGTCTTCGAATCTGTCATGTCACGAACACACATAAATTAAAATCGTGCTAGTTCAAATAAAAAGAACCTACGAACAAAATCCTCCACAAACACCACCACTTCAATTAGTCTTCAATTGACCATTTTTGTGTCAATCAACGCACGCACACATAAAAGTCAAGCAAAGACAGAAATTAAATTACGAAAGCACTTCTGCACAAATTAAACCTCGGTACCATAGCCACTACATGCGTCTTTCGTTCAGCATTCTATACGCACGTTGCAACAAATTTTTACATCAAAGTGTCACAATCACAAAAGCTACGAGTTGCTTCCCCTTACCTGAAAAATCATATCACAAAATCCAACCCAAACTTGCCCTATATAATCTCTTTAGTTAGAATAACCTAGTTTTATTGCAGCTAGTAGTGTCAAAAATATTCGTATTCATCGATCAATAGATCATTAATAGTATTGAAAAGAAATTCGATTTGAATTAATTTATAATCGAACATGTTAAAAATTTTGATTTCTTTTGAGAAAAAATTTAAACTGATTCATTTTGTATAACTAATTTAATTATCTAATCCATTTCATAAAATAAATTAATTTATTTTTTTAAAATTAATTGATATATAAATATAAAGTAAATAATTACATATACTAAACTAATCTAATTTTAAAAAAATTATATTTTAAACAAATCAAATCAATTTATTCAATCTATTTAAAAATAATAATCAAATAATCAATTTATTTATACCTATATAAAAGAGATACTTAATTAATATATATAATCACTTTTAATCTTTACTTTTTAATAAATTATTATCTCAGATAGTAAAATAAAATTATTATATTTTCTTAAAATAATTATAAATAATATTTAATATTATTTTTTATATAATTATTAACAACACGAAATAATTTCACCACTCTAATTTTTATAAAATGGATTCATCGATTCGGTTTAAATTTTTTTAAAATCCAATAATGAACATCGTCTAAGGACAATTCCTTAACAGTAAGTACGTGCATCATTCGTTTCGTGATGATCAACGTGGCATGCCTCCAATTCAGAACATGGACTTCATTTGTTTTAACACAAAACGTGGCAGCGACTCAAGCTTGACGCATGGATACGCGCGTCCCATCGTCACAATACACATCTTCAACTTTTGTACGCTATTATTACATACTCCAATTTTGATTTTTCTACATCACACTATAAATTCTCCTGCACGTTGAATACCCATTTGAAAATTCTAGTTTCTGTGACCCATTTCGCCCTGGTCTGTTTATAAATACTCCACCATCACAATCTAGTAACACACAACAACATCGTATATATCCTCGTCAACTAGCAGAGCTTGGTATAGAAAGAACAACAGTGAACAGAGTTTCAATCGGGGACAACTTGAAGATCACAAAATCGAGGGGAAAAAATGGCAAGGAATGTGTGTTTGAACATGATAGGGTGTTGCATGGTTGCAATGATTTTCATAATTGGTGCGACTGAAGCAACGGATTATACGGTTGGTGACAGCTTGGGATGGAACGTTCCCAACAATAAGAGCTTCTATACAGATTGGGCTAGCACCAAGGAGTTCTTCGTTAATGACACTCTTTGTAAGTTCTAACTTTTAACTACGTTAGTTAACCCCAAGATATGATTCAGCCATAATCTATGCACTAAAATTATGTCATTTATTAATAAAAATAAATATTAAGTATATTAGGATATCGATCATTTCTCCTGAATGGAAAGGAAATCGTTAGTATAAAAATAATGAGTCACCGGTCGAGAGAGAGGTTCATCATTTCTAGATTATTTAACTTTTCTTTGTGAGAAAACTTTGTTTGGCCACAATTATGTAGAAGTTTTTTTTTTCTCTATTTTTTATTTTTTATTTTTTATTTTTATTTTACTACTGTGTTATAGCTGCTAAAATTTAATCATTTTTTTTCCGCTAAACTAAAATGTTATTTGTAATTAGTTTTATAACTTAAATATATCACATAGGTCGCTTAAAAATGTCTCATATGTTTGTAAAAGTTATTATCTTCTTATCTTTGTAAAAAAAATTAACATATACCTTTCTTATTTAAAAAAATAACTTTTAAAAATTTGCTTTTAAGTCCGTTTGGCCCTTATACCCCTCTTATTTAAAAAAATAATTTTTAAACATTTTCTTTTAAGCCCCGTTGGCCCTTATAATAATATATGTTAGTTAGATTCTGCTTCAGTATATTTTTATGTAAGTGTAAATGCACTTTTTGACGTTTTTTAACTCTCTTCTTTTTTAAAAGAGAAACTATACTTAAAAATGTGACTATACTAACTTATATCTTAATTTATAATATATATATGAATATATGATTAATTAGTAGAAATGATGCTTTGGGAGAGAGAAAGAAATTATATAAAAGTGCTTGTAAGTTAGGTTGTGAAAAATTGGATGATTTCTATTTGAGGAATTGATGATCGATTCTGTATGTGTTGAGGATTATAAATATGCCAATAATTTGTAAGAATGATGATCTGGGAGAGAGAACGAAATTGTAGAAAAGTGCCTCTGAGCTACGTTTTGGAACAATTGGGGGTTTTACTATTTATGTTAAGATTGTATTGATTATCATATTAACTTATGAATGTTATTGCTATATTACTTGATAAAATTGATGATCTAGATGTGAATTGCTTGAGGGATGTGTAAACCTTTATTTTGTGAGACTTATATGTTGAGTATGTGATATGGAATTGTGTATGTGATATGAAATCGTGATATGAGATGAGATATTGTATGGACATGATTAAGAATGTGATTGCGATGTGTTTCCTCACACTAATGACTAGGGATGGCACGACCCTTAGGTAAGTGGTGCTACAGGGAGGGCGTGATCCTAGCATGGTGTGGGATGAGTAAAACAATTAACACACACCACTTATGTCGATTATGGCAGCCCTGGCATAGGGTTAATTGCAAGAGATTGTATGGATTTTAATGTGATTGTGGATCCTCACACTCATGCTTCAGGGACGAGCGTACTCCTGGATTATCAGGGATGATACGAAACCTGGGTAGGTGATGCTTCAGGGACGAGTGTACTCCTAGATGATCAGGGATGATACGAACCTTGGTATGGTGTGGGTTGAGTGAGGCAATTAACCCGTATCACTTGTGTCAGATGTGGCGAAGTCTTGGCATAGTGTTAATTGTAAGATTGGCTTGAATTATGGATGCGAAAATGATATTGTTAATTGTAAAATTGTGTGGATTGTGATGGATTGATAAATTATGATACATGCTTGTATATATATGAATTATGATGAGATTTCATTATGATGTGGTTGTATGTACTTTGCATATAGATATTTTGTGAAACGGGCCGTTCCGGAATAAAGAATTTGCCTAAAAAACGTAGTTGAGAATGGGCCATTTCGGTTGGAGAACGAGCCGTTTCGGTTGGAGAACGGGCTGTTCTGGTTTGGAAAACGGGCTGTTCTGGAAGTGGCACGGGTCGTTCTGCTGTTATTGAGAACAGGCCGTTCCGGTTTTGGAACGGGTCGTTCCAGTTGAGATTTTTGCGTAGTTCTGGAGGGTCCAAAACGGCCGTTCCACTTTTGGAACGGGCCGTTCCAGGTTAGTGAGGCAGATTCCTATAAATAGGAGGCCTCGCCTCTCATTTTCACACATCTCTCATTCTCTCTTCCTATTATCTTCTGTTCTCTCTTCTTTCCCTCTTCTCCTCTCTGAAGACCAAAGGGCATTTAGAGGAGGAGACCAAGAGATTCCTGTTTTAGTTCAACTACTGTTTATCCAGGTACGGGGGGAAATGGAATTATTTATATGTAGAGCTACATGAGGGAACTGGGTAGAGGAAGAACCCTTAAGATTATGAGTAATTTTATAATTATTTCTGTTTGGATAATTATTAGTCTTATTTGATTCTGTATGAATTTAGGAGTATGAATATATAATTAATTGGTAAAAATGATGCTCTGGGAGAGAGAACGAAATTATAGAAAAGTGCTTGTAAGTTAGGTTGTGAAAAATTGGATGATTTCTGTTTGAGGAATTGATGATCGATTCTGTATGTGTTGAGGATTATAAATATGCCAATAATTTGTAAGAATGATGATCTGGGAGAGAGAACGAAATTGTAGAAGAGAAATTAACTTATATCCTAACTTATATTTAAATAGATTCTTTCTTCTAATTGTAAAATATTTTTCATTTTTAAGTTAGAAACTTTTATATTTAGTTAGATTCTGTTTCAGTATATTTTTATGTAAGTGTAAATGCACTTTTTGATAGTTTTTTAACTCTCTTTATTTTTAAAAGAGAAACTATACTTAAAAATGTGACCATACTTAAAAATGTGTTTTTGAAAGGTTGTTTTAACACTTCTAACTTATATCTTAATTTATATAAAATATTTTTTTTTATTTTTAAGTAGAGAAATTAACTTATATCCTAACTTATATTTAAATAGATTCTTTCTTCTAATTGTAAAATATTCTTCATTTTTAAGTTAGAAACTTTTAAAAGCATTATCCAAGGCTTTTATACTTTGTTAGAAGCTTGTACCCGAACACATCTTATACTTAAATAAAGCAGGAGTTAAGATAAAGAATTATTTTAGACAAATCCCAAATGCACTTCTATTCTTCTATCCAAATAGAATATTCAATTCAATGTAAACCACTGGCCGCTCTCCAGTATTATTTAAACATTAAACAATCTATAAGTTGCTTAATTATCTTAATTGCAATCTGCCTAGTTTATTATTTCTTCACCATTATTTGAACATGAACATTAAACATAACCTAAATTGATTACCTCAATTGCAATCTACCTATTTTATTAATTCTCACTATTATTCAAACATTAAAAAATTCTATATTGCTTACCTCAATTACAACGTAACCTCCCTTTTATGTTTTGATTTTATTTTATTTTTTAAAATAAATTGATAGAGACTCATTGTGTGTGTCTTTCTTCCTGGTACTATATACAATTATTTTTAACATTAAATCACGATATTGTATCCAATTAATTAATTTTAAAAAATAATTTAATTAAAAAATAATGTAGATTGTAAAGACAAGTTTCTAATTTTGATTGTAAAACAACATAAACAACAACCAAGTATTTAAGTTGTTTCTTTTTATTTTAAAAGAAAATGCCCTATTTCCTTTATGAAATCACATAAAATGCATTGCGATTAAATTAATAATTTAATAAAAGATTTTAAAAATATCAATGTTTATGAGATCAATTCGAGATTTTAAAAAACATTTGTATTTGATCTTAAACTTAAAGATTTTTTTTTTTGGTTTGAATCTTATTTGTGTAAGAATTATTAATTTTTAATATTATTTTTTAAAGTTTTAAAAAATAAATCAATGTTTATTAGATTAATCTGAGATTTTTAAAAACATTTCTTTAAATTTTTAAAGATTTTAAGTTTCAGTTTTATCTTTGTAAGAATTATTAATTTTTAATATTATTTTTTAACTTAAAATTTTGAATTTGAATTTTATATTATTAAAAATATTAATTTTTAATATTATTTTTATTTTTTAATATTTAAAAATGTAATGAGAAAAATATATATGTATACTAAATTATTTTTATTTTTTATTATTTAAAAATTTAATGATAAGATAATCTAAAAGAATGTGTATACTGAATTAAATTATATTGTCCATACATATTATAAATATGAGTTAATATTATACTGATAATTAATTATATTTTTTAATAGTGTCATATCAGTTGCTTATTTAATGAAATAAGAATAAAATAAAATAATTTAAAGATATGATTGGTTATCGTGTAAAATAATTTATATTAACAGTATATGGATGATTAACCTATAATTATTATGGATTATAGATTATAATAACTGGTTAAGTCTTTTAACTGTTGATGTGTATGGATTAGTATTCAACTGGACCGGAAATCACACTGTGCGAATTGATTCGGAGGCTACTTATTACGACAATTGCAACACAAGCGAAATAGGTATCCAATTCAGAAGCAGTTTTCGGTATACTATTGTTGGAGCTGGGCATCACTACTTCGTTTGCACCGTTGGCAATCACTGTGAAAGAGGCCAGAAGTTCAGCATCAACGTTGAGTCTCCACCTGCTTCCGCTGCTCCCACACTCTCTTTCGGATTCTTATCTGCTCCATTCCTCTCCACCTTCGCTCTCTACATCTTCTCACCTCCACCACTCAATTACTTTCTCATGTAGACCTCTTCATTCTTCTCATCATTCTTTCAACATTCAATATATACATGTTATAGGTTTTTTGGGTTGTTTAGGTTTCAATAAATCTTGCACGCTACTATCAATAAATATGTTGTAATCCTTTTCCTAGTTTTAGTATGGAATATACTATGAAAAAAAAATAGTTATCTTGTATACATATATATAATCTTCGAACAATATGGAATATATATTCAGAGAAATACTCATCTTTATAATTTTCAACAAAGATTAATCAATGTTCTTTTATAGTGAATATTGTTTTTTTTTTAATTAAGCAGATGTACAGATCAGTAACCTGAAATATTGAACAGACATGTTAGAAGAATACATGTTAGAAGAATACGTGTAAGTTTTCTAGTTTTCTAGGATACAATAGAGTTGTTTTAAGAATTTGATGAAAATAACTGGCAAGGGACGAAATGAGAACCCAAAAGAGAATAGAGAGGAAGAAAAGAGAATAGAGAGAAAGAAGAAAGAAAAAGCTTTTTCGACATGATCAAATAGTGCTACAGAGGTCTTTATTTATAGAATTATAGAAGTTATGTAAATCACGTAAACCATCCAAAAAAATTAAGAGATAAATCTTATCTCATACATAAACCATCCAAAAAAAATTAAGAGATAAATCTTATCTCATAAACTGGTTGGATAAATTTTATTTTTATTTGAATAAGATTTGTCTCAATTAATTAAAATAATTTAATGAATCAAAAATAAAAATATTTTTGGATTTCATTTTTTGTATGTACAAAAGGGACAAATCAACAAATTTGAATTACAACGAGTTTACAAGGCTTACAAGACTTATTCTCGTGTGTGTGAGTCCAACATCCTATTTTTCTCCTTTGAAAGTGTTGGAAATAATTTTACATATAAAGGTTTAAAACTTGAGTTGTCTAAATAGCGTAAAACTTCTTATTTTGAAATAACATGTATATGCATAGTTCGTACTATTATGACATTTTTAGTTAAAAACAAAGCTCATATTATAATTTTTGTCACCAAAATTCTATTTTTTATGCCTTTGGTTTCGACAATCTACAAATATTAAAAACTTATGTTTATCAATCGTTTTCAAAATGATAAAAATTTCGTGGTGTGTTTGATCGGGGTAACTTTTTCCCGGGTAAACTTTGGTTAAGATTTCTTTTCAGAAAAAAGCATCTTATATATTAAGATGTAGAAAAACGTAACTTTATCAGAGCATATAATCTACGAAGTATGTATCACAATATATAATGATCTGGGAGAGAGAACGAAATTGTAGAAAAGTGCCTCTGAGCTACGTTTTGGAACAATTGGGGGTTTTACTATTTATGTTAAGATTGTATTGATTATCATATTAACTTATGAATGTTATTGCTATATTACTTGATAAAATTGATGATCTAGATGTGAATTGCTTGAGGGATGTGTAAACCTTTATTTTGTGAGACTTATATGTTGAGTATGTGATATGGAATTGTGTATGTGATATGAAATCGTGATATGAGATGAGATATTGTATGGACATGATTAAGAATGTGATTGCGATGTGTTTCCTCACACTAATGACTAGGGATGGCACGACCCTTAGGTAAGTGGTGCTACAGGGAGGGCGTGATCCTAGCATGGTGTGGGATGAGTAAAACAATTAACACACACCACTTATGTCGATTATGGCAGCCCTGGCATAGGGTTAATTGCAAGAGATTGTATGGATTTTAATGTGATTGTGGATCCTCACACTCATGCTTCAGGGACGAGCGTACTCCTGGATTATCAGGGATGATACGAAACCTGGGTAGGTGATGCTTCAGGGACGAGTGTACTCCTAGATGATCAGGGATGATACGAACCTTGGTATGGTGTGGGTTGAGTGAGGCAATTAACCCGTATCACTTGTGTCAGATGTGGCGAAGTCTTGGCATAGTGTTAATTGTAAGATTGGCTTGAATTATGGATGCGAAAATGATATTGTTAATTGTAAAATTGTGTGGATTGTGATGGATTGATAAATTATGATACATGCTTGTATATATATGAATTATGATGAGATTTCATTATGATGTGGCCGATTGGTTGCCAAAGGTTTTCACCAAGTTCCTGGATTTGATTTTCATGAAACATTTTCTCCTGTTATTAAGCCTACCACACTTAGAATCATTCTCACTTTGGCTCTCACAAATGGTTGGGACTTACTTCATCTTGATGTGAACAATGCTTTCTTAAATGGCTTGTTGGAGGAAACTGTTTTTATGGTCCAGCCACCAGGTTTTGAAAGTGCAGATAAAAGTTTGGTTTGCAGGTTAAATAAGGCCCTCTATGGCCTTAAACAGGCTCCACGGCAGTCGTTTGCCAGACTCAAAACTACTCTTCTGCAATTTGGTTTTTCTGCCTGCAAATCTGATCCATCCTTGTTCACTTACACTCTTCAACAGCAAACTGTTTACCTATTGGTGTATGTAGATGATATCATTCTCACTGGAAGCTCTCAATCTCTTATTCAGCAGCTTACAACTCAGTTAAATGCAAGATTTGCTCTCAAACAGCTTGGTTTGTTAGACTATTTTCTTGGTATTGAGGTCAAATATTTTACTGATAAATCTATTTTGATGACACAAAGCAAATACATTAGGGACTTGTTGCACAAAACAAAAATGGCTGAGGCTCAACCCATTTCCTCTCCTATGGTTTCTTCCTACAAACTCTCCAAAAATGGCAATGATCTTTTTCATGATCCCACCTTATTTCGTTCTGTTGTTGGGGCATTACAATATGCCACTTTGACTCGTCTAGACATTAGCTACTCTGTTAACAAGGTCTGTCAGTTTATGGCTCAACCTTTGGACACTCATTGGATTGCTGTAAAACGAATTTTGCGTTACCTAAAGGACGAGCCGTTCTCCATGCAGAACGGGCCGTTCTCCATGCAAAATGGGTCGTTCTGCTTGGAGAACGGGCCGTTCTCCAACCAGAACGACCCGTTCTGGTTGCAGTCATTTTTCTTCTTTTTTTTTTTTTTTAATTTTTTTACAACTTTTAACGTCAGCCCTTGTAATTTCCGACGTAAATTTACGTCGGTTTTCGCACCTCGACATAAATTTACGTCTCCCGCTTCAACGTCAGAGGTTTTTCCGACGTAAAACCCCTAAAATAACCGACGTAAAATGTATATTCTGTACTAGTGCTTGTTCACCTAAAAGGTGGTTTGTGTATTGATTCCCTTACCTTTCTCTTTCTTTATCTCTCTCTCTTTGTTTTTTTTTTTTTGCATTTTGATGCTGCCACCTTTTATTATAAGAGTAATGTAGTGCCAACTACAAAGATAACTTATGATGATGATTCTCAATTAGTCTCATCATTTTTTTACCACCTAGAGGAAATGGATGACTCTTTTTAGGAGCATATGCAAACAAAGGTGTCCCAACTTCAACTAAGAATCAAGAAAAAGGAAAAGAGTTGAAGATGTGATAAAACTCCCTATTGGGGAGATGGTTACAAAAATTAGAATTGACATACAAAAGCTTCCATTTGATGACTAAGATTAATCCTTTTTTTATGCTACCATAAGGGGGAGAAGATACTAAGTGGTGTTGTTTTTGAAAGGAGGAGCTACTATTTTGAAGAGCTGAAGGGTATCTTGCTTGAAAAGACATATTTTTATTATTTTTGTTTTGAAATCCTATATTTAAAAGCTTTTTTGTAATGATCCTATTATGCTCAAATGCAACAAAATCAATAAATCTTTTTGGTTTATGCTTTGACTATATAATGCTTTGATATATAGTTTTCGCTTTTAGTCTAATGCTTAAACAATATGCATGCTTGTATGATTTGTTAGTTTTATATACTATGATATGTATATATGGATGATTTGGCATATGGTTGTGTACTCTAATATATACCTCTTTATGCTTGCTTTGATCATCTAAAGTATTTGCTAGCTCTTAATTAAAACTTTGGTATTTGTTCATCAAAACCAAAAAAGTAGTAGTTATTCGATCCTTTTAGACTAGGTTTAACGCTAAAATTCAAAAACAAATATGTCATCATCAGAAGGGGAGGGAATCTTAGTTCAAAGATGAATTGGGACCTCCTCTATCTTATTGATGTTTTGATAATAACATAGTTAACGTTCACTACTATAGGAAACATTTTACATCAGTTCTTTTAGACATTTTACATCAATTTTGAAAACAATATTGATTAAGGCGAGATAGAAAGTGTAAGACATTTTACATCAGTTTAAAAATCTATGTAAAAGATCTCATTTCTACATCGATTATTAACAAAATTGATGTAAAATATGATATATTCTACATTGATTATTGACAAAACTAATGTAAAATATGATATATTCTACATCGGTTATTGACATAACTGATGTAAATATGGCATATTCTACATCGGTTCCATCAAGAACTGATGTAGAATATGTCATATTCTATATCGGTTCCATCAAGAACCGATGTAGAATATGTCATATTCTATATCAGTTCTATCAATAACAGATGTAGAAATCTCAATAAGCAATTCTACATCAATTCTCCCAAAATCTCTTATAACATCACATTGTTAAGTACTAATCACTAAAGTTATTTGCCTCCAAAAAGAACTAATACACTTTATAGTGAAAAATAACTAAAAAGAAGGAGGAAAAAATAAAAAAGACTTTCTCATTATGACTAGTACAACCCGAAAATCTTAAAAAAAAATTATTAAGCTAAAATAATGTCAATTGATAGAAATGAAAACAAAACTTAATGGTAGAAAATTATGAAGATAAATTTTGCACACAAAAAAATGAACCAATTAATAAATTTAATGTTAACCTCTTATATATGTTTTTTCTTTGGATAGAAATGAAAATAATATCATAACTTGAATTATGACATTTATATTTAAATTTGGTTACAATAATGCTTTTTCAACAAATTTTACAAAATCATTATAGATCGGTAATAATAATATAATGATAAAAAATAAATTAAAATATCAACAATATTAAAAAAGATAAAAAAAATGATAAAATTTAAAAATCGTGATTCTACTATTCTTTTCTCATTTAAAATTTGTGATTCTTCTATTCTTTTATTCTTCTTCTCACTTAAAATTCATAATTCTTCTATTCTTTTATCTTCACTCACCTAAAACTCATTATTCTTCGAAAGTACTCTAAGTCTCAACACATAAAATAATTTTAGCTATTCATAAGAAATAAACACATGGT